AATTTTATTTATTTTTGTTCCTTAGCCAACCTATCAGCCTTCGCCGTTGGTACATGCCTAGGCTGGACCTCACCTGTTACACCCAAATTGAAAACCGAAGATACCTCTGATTCACCTTTAAATGCGCCCATTGATTCAACAGATGAAGCCTGGATTTCCTCCATAGTTGCCCTGGGAGCTTTAGTTGGTAAGTTTAGATACGATTTAGCTTTTGAAAAACTTTATTTGAAATAACAACAAATACGTTATGTCCTTGGTCACAATTTTTCCCTTGAACGAAAAACAAAAGCCAATAACATTTTTCAAATAACTACGGTGATGGAGGCATGTTTTAGTGTCCGTTATTATAGTAAATTATTTTTTTTTTTTAAAATGGGTATATACATTTTGTATCTTCCCGACCTTGTAAAATATAAATGCGTATGTTTTGACTAACACGGCATTTTAAGTCGATATAGGAAATGTCTTATTAAATACTATGTATTCTCTTACTCATAGTCACATTTTACGAACCTACAAAATTTCGGATGTAGATTCCATTCTGGCCAAAAATGACACTTTTTTATACCCTTCACCACACTGTGGTACAGGGTATTATCGCAAAAGGAATCGATATAGACCCATAGATCCTTTTGAGAATATGCATAGAATCAATTTCTGAATCGGTTTATGTATGTCCGTCCGTCGATTTATGCACATGTCACTTATTTGGCCCAAAGACAAACCCTATTGAAATTGGAAACAATCACGATATAGCTCCCATAGATATTTTGTAGTCCGGTTGTATGTAAATGACCCACCATGCTACCAAAACATGTCCAATTGAGACAATAATTTTACACAACAAACTGAACTAAGTACAGATTACGGTTTTGTTGAAATCGGTTCAGATTAAGATTTGCATCTATATGTTTGTCCGATTGAGAAAACGTTTTGCATAACGCATTGATTTGATCCAAGAATGACGTGTGTTAAGATATATGTATTGGAATCGGTTTAGATTTAGATATAGCCCCCATATATATGTTCGTTCGATTTGGTGTAAATAATGCACACAATTCCGAAGGTTTAGGCGATTGAGACGAAATTTTAGATAAGATATTGAATTCAGTCCAGAATATAGAGCGTTAAATTCTATAGAAATTGGTTCAGATTTAAATATAGCTCCCTTATATATTTACGTCAGATTTTATGATGACCAGTTAATATTTAGGGAATGAAATGGACCAATGGATGGATCGCTCTAGAAGCCACAATCACCGAACACCACGAAATTTTACACCGGGAAGGGAATCTGGTCAAAGAATAGGCATGACTACTTTGATGGGAATCAGTCATTATTTAGCGGGTCAAATGGACCCAGACTTTTGTGTGAATAACAAAATGTGTATTCTGGATCTAATATATTTATTCTGAATGAGACAGAGACACGGAAAATTGGTAGAATACCCAAGAGGAGTGTATGTCTTTTAAATCGATACCAATTATATTGTTGTATGTACTCGGAGGTAGAAGCTTGACTTGTAAACTTGGAAGGTGCCTATATATATGTTTAGTATTACTACTTCCCCTCTAGAGGGCGGAAATGTCGCGCTGATCGCTTTGAAATTTTTCATGAAGTTCCGGTTATGGTTAAGGTCGACGCTTATAACTTTCGGAAATGTTGATGTGATATTTAGGGGTACAATGAACCAAAAATTTGTTTGTCAAATAGCCTAGTCGCCCTAGAGGCTATTATCATATGCAGTATATCACATATTTTACACGGTGAAGGGGAACTGACAAAATACTTAGAACATAGATGCATAGATGATGATCGGTCAATAATCCGAGGGCCAAATCAAGCAAAACATAAAATGACTAAGTTTTATTTTATGGCGTAACTATTTACCTCGGGAAAACCAAATTTGGAAAATATCCCATGGTTAGAATGTGAAGCTGTTGACCTATAATCGGTCAAGAAGGTACAAATTGGTAGGGTTGTGCTATATATATTCTTGGTTGGATATAGGCCATGTTTTTCTACTTGTCTCACAATAAAGGAAATTTTGCACGTAGGTTTCTACTAGACCTAGTTTGAGTGGTATTGGGAATGGCATATAGCGGAGTTCTCGGTGGGGAAACAACTTCTTCGCAGGATATTTTAAATATAGATTCATATTTTGACTTTGTCTTTTCCAACCGTTTCTTTTTTTCAATCGAAGTGGATGTAATTTGACATTTCAGATTCTTGACAGGTCTCTTCGAATTTTGATGGCCCAGTCTTATTTTCAACCGAGCTGGCCTTAACCCTTTGAGCCCCGAATTTTTTCCCGCAATCATAGGACAAATTTCTGTTTACAGATTTAATGCAACTATCCTAAATAGGATAGGCACACAATTTGACATCGATATATCCTTGCATTCGGGAGATAAAGTACATTCTTTCGGAAAGTCCAATATCAAGAAAACCAAATGCAAAATCGTCAGAAAAATCATTTTAAATTACAATTTTACAAGAATCAAAAATAATTCTGAGGGTAGAATTTGTACAATTTGAATACGAAGCGATCTAAATAATTTGGACTGTATACAAAAATTAGTACTGTACACAAATTTACCCTCTTCTCTATATTGAAAAGCTCATAACTTCACCAAATTTTTGATTTTTTTTTTGATTTTTCTTTTGATATGTGTCGTCCATAATTAGGTCTTCACATATGAAATCCTAATAATACATATCTACTAGCTGCATATAAAATATAAACTCTAAAACATTTTGTTGCCTGTGGGCAACATTGGGCCACAAAGGGTTAATTAGGCATTCCGTCTTGTAGACAATTTTCAGTATTGGTCCATGTTCAGACACAGCCCCAATGGCGTTCTTCTACAGGTACCGCGTCTTTGTAGGCATTGGGTTTTGCTTTAACGTAGCCTTCATATTTGGCGATTTTTCTAACCTTAGTCTTTTGTCTTGGTCCCATTCATTAAGGTTCATTCTCTAACCGAATGCCTGTATTTTGATATCTGCATTCAGGTGGACTATAATCGGCAACGTTTAGACATATCAATCATGTAGGGATACCACCTTTTTTTGAGCGTTTGGTACATTGGACGGCTCACGTATCTCTACAGCTCGATTTTTGTGGGATATCTTAGCCAAATTTTCCAACCGAGGTGATTGTAATTAAGAATTTAGGATTCTTAGAGGGTAAAGGACCTTACTGCAGAATATATCATATACATGTGTATGTTTCGATGTAGGCCGCATATAAAGGTTTCACCTAATTTTGGTATTTTGAAAGTGATATCCAAATTTTCAACCGAGGTGAAGTTAATGTGAAATTAAATATAGCCAAGCAGAACATTTTAACACAGTTCCATAGGTCTCCGCTAGAACATATGGAACGATGTAATTTAACATAGATCAAATGTATTTGTATCACTCGATTTTTTTCAAGCTTGATGGTGGTTCTTGAAAATTACGCAATAGTTCGTATTACTACTTTGGGTTCCCTAAAACAATTCCTGTGAAATGTTGACTTTTTGCTTTGAATGTGTTGCCAGATTTGGGTATATTCTCAAGACAAGAAATCTACCAACTTCCCCTTTTATTTAACCTTTCTCCCATCCCAATTGTGACCAAGGATTCCAGTCAGGTTTTTCTATTATTATTAAATTGCAATTTATTTCTATGTTATCTGTCATTCCAGCTCCCTTTGTTGCTGGTCCATTGGCGGACAAAATTGGTCGCAAATGGGTACTACTGTCGAGTTCTGTGTTCTTTGTTATTGCCTATATACTCATGATGATCGGTGGTTCGGTGGTAGTTTTGCTAGTTGCCCGTCTCATACAAGGTTTTGGTGTGGGATTCGTGATGACTGCCCAGCCTATGTATGTGGGAGAAATTGCCACGGATAGTGTGAGAGGTGCCACGGGATCGCTTATGCAATTGTTTATTGTGTGTAAGTTGTTAGATTTCAAAAATCCAAAAATGGTAGCCTGATTGAATGTCCTTATATTTGTTCTCTTATAGCCGGCATCTTGTACGTCTATGCCATTGGTCCATATGTCTCCTATCAAGCCCTGCAATGGTGTTGCATTGCAGTGCCCATTGTTTTCGATGTGTGTTTCTTCTTTATGCCCGAAAGTCCTTATTATTTAGCTGGCAAGGGTCGTAAAATGGAAGCTTTGAAGTCGCTGCAATTTCTCAGAGGTCAAAGTGCTGATGGTGCTCAAGATGAAATGGCTGCCATTCAAGCTGGTGTCGAGGAATCAATGGCCAATAAAGGTTCTATTGCTGATATTATTAAGAATCCTGGTAATCGTAAGGCTCTGTTCATTTCCGCCGGTCTCTTGGTGTTCCAACAATTCTCCGGTATCAATGTGGTCCTCTTCAATTCACAATCGATTTTCGAAAGTGCCAATACCGGTTTGGATCCTGCTGTTGCCACAATTATTGTGGGTATTGTACAGGTGGCCTCTTCGGGCCTAACACCCATTATTGCCGATCGTTTGGGTCGTAAGGTAATTCTGTTGACTTCGGCTAGTATTATGACAGTGGGTCTTGCCGCTTTGGGTGGTTTCTTCTATATGAAGCTGGTTGTGGGTGATACCTCCAGTGTCCTGTGGTTGCCTGTCCCTGCCTTGGTTGTGTATAACATTGTCTACTGCGTTGGTTTCGGTCCCCTGCCATGGGCTGTTTTGGGTGAAATGTTCCCGGCCAATGTTAAGTCGATTGCCTCTTCGATTGTTGCCTCCACTTGCTGGATTTGTGGTTTCTTAGTTACATATTTCTACCCGGCCCTAGATGCCATGGGTTCGTACTATGCCTTCTGGCTGTTCGGTATCTTCTGTATTGTCGCCTTCTTCTTCGTCCTGTTCGTTGTCATGGAAACGAAAGGTTTGAGTCTGCAAGAAATTCAAGACAGGCTAAATGGTAGAAAATAAGCCTCAGGAGATGACTTTCGGTTGGAGGAGAGAAGGTCAACACAACACCAGTCATTTTGTAGGATATCGAAATGTTGAATTTGAGTATTTTACAAATGGAAGAAATATCCAAACCCAGAACCCACAAAAGTATTGCATGTAGTTAGTTATATATTAATATCTAAAATAATTAATTATCTATATGTGTATGTATAATATTAAGTTGTTAAGTTTATATAAATATATACAATTTCTATACCTTATATACACGATATTATTATATACAAAAATTAAAGATGTATGAGTATGTACGATAATGTTTTAAATAAATAAGACGAATAAAAATTTATTTGAACCGAAATTTATTTAAAATTATTTAAATTAATACCAATAAAGGTAGCCGTTGAAAAAATATTTTCAAAAAAATACACGCTTAAAACGTGTGAAATTTAAAACCAGTAAGGGAAGTAGTAAAGTCGGACTGGGCCGACCACTTTGGGTATATTGTACACATATATCCTTACAATTGCATGTCAATGTTCCCTCTAAGGAACATGTTCATGCCTATCTGCAACCTATGCTAAATATAATTTCATTCGGGCAGATTTAAAGTCGTCTGTGTGCCATGGGACAAATTTATTGAAAACGATTTATAGCAAAATTGATATCCGCTATTCGGTTCGCCGCACTGTGAAAAATTTAATCTTTATCAGATACCCGTTCGAAATACATATGGAAGCTATGGCTGCATCTGCACCAATTTCAACAAAACGCAATAACGGCATTCAAGTCTCGATTTGATACGTTCTGCAAAATTTCGTGTTAATGGGACAAACATTAGGAGTTTGATGCACCATTTATGTAAAATCGGACGAATATATATGTATATGTGGGAGCTATAGCGAAATCTGAAACGAAACTTACAAAACATTATTCGAGACTCAATTCAGTACGCTATGCCAAATTTTGTGCCAATCGGAGGATATATAGGAACTTTGGTGCACCATTTACATAAAATCGGACGAAAATATATATGAGAGCTATATCTAAATCTGAAAGGTTTTTTATGAAATTTAACACACATCGTTCTAGACTTATTTCAGTACGCTGTGCCAAATTTTGTGCAAATTGGAGGATATATAGGGTCTTTGGTGCACCATTTTACATAAAATCGAACGAAACTATGTATGCGAGCTTTATCTAAATCTGAACCGATTTTCACGAAACTTAGCACACATCACTCTAGACTTAATTCCGCACGCTGTGCCAAATTTCATGCAAATCGAAGTATATATAAGGAACTTAGTACACATCATTCTAGACTAAAGTCCGTACGCTGTGCCAAATTTCATGCAAATCGAAAGATATATAGGAACCTTGGTACAGCATTTACATAAAATCGGACGAAAATATATATGGGAGCTATATCTAAATCTGAACCGATTTTCTCCATACTTAGCACACATCATTATATTTTTAATTCAGTACCCTAAGCCAAATTTCGTGCAAATCGAAATATATTTAGGGACTTTGATGTCCCATTTACCTTAAATCGGACGAAAATATATATGAGAGCTATATCTAAATCTGACCCGACTTTCTCCAAACTTGGCACACATCACTCTACTTTTAATTCCGTACGCTGTGCCAAATTTCATGCAAATCGAAAGTTACATAGGGAATTTGGTGAAGTATTTACCTTAAATCGGAGCTATATCTAAACTGAACCAATTCTCACGAAACTTAGCACACATCACTCTAGACTTAATTCCGTACGCTGTGCCGAATTTCATGCAAATCGAAAGATATATAGGAACTTTGGTACAGCATTTACATAAAATCGGACGAAAATATATATGAGAGCTATATCTAAATCTGAACCGATTTTCTCGAAACTTAGCACACATCATTCTACTTTTAATTCAGTACCCTATGCCAAATTTCGTGCAAATCAAAAGATATATAGGGACTTTGGTGCACTATTTACCTAAAATCCGACGAAAATATATATGGGAGCTATATCTAAATCTGAACCGATTTTCACGAAACTTGGCACACATCACTCTAAACTTAATTCCGTACGTTGTGCCAAATTTCATGCAAATCGAAGTATATATAGGGAATTTAGTAAACCATTTACCTTAAATCAGACGAAACTATATATGGGAGCTATATCTAAATCTGAACCGATTTTCTCGAAACTTGGCACACATCATTCTGGACCTAATTCAGTAGTCTATGCCAAATTTCGTGCAAATCGAAAGATATATAGAGAATTTGGTGAACCATTTACCTTAAATCGGACAAAACTATATAGGGAAGCTATATCTAAATCTGAACCGATTTTCTTCAATTTCAATAGGGTTCGTCCTTGGGCCAAATAAATGAGCTGTACCAAATTTCATCCAAATCGGATCATAAATGCGACCTGTACTTGTTTACATCTACAGACGGACATGCATAAATCGACTCAGAAAGTGATTCTATGCATATTCTCAAAGGGAACCATGTGTCTACCTCGTTTCTGTTACAAACATATGCACAAAGACATAATACCCTGTACCACAGTGTGGTGAAAGGTATAAAAATCCACGCCTATTGGTAGCCCATAAAAAAATTATTAAACATACGCGTGGATTTTTTGAAAATTAATTCAAATATTTTATTAAATTTATATTTTGCAGTTCCTTTCTTTGCTGGTCCTTTGGCAGATTTGGTGGGACGTAAATGGTTACTACTCGGCAATTCGACATTGTTCATTCTTGGCTATATCCTACTGATGCTTGGGGGAAAAGTATGGATTATACTTGTGGCTCGCGTAATACTAGGACTTGGCTGTGGCTCAGTTATGACCGTTGTCCCAATGTATATCGGGGAAATAGCTACAGATAATGTTCGAGGTGCCACCGGGTCGCTGATGAATTTGTTCGTTGTGTGTAAGTAAGAAATTATATAAAAAATTAAAAATAATAATTTAAATCCTCCTCTCCTTCAGCTGGCATCCTTTATGTTTATGTCATTGGTCCCTATGTCTCCTACCAGGTGCTACAATGGTGCTGCCTTGCCATACCCATTGCATTTGTTATTTGCTACTCGCTTATGCCTGAAAGTCCCTATTATTTATTGGCAAAAAATCGTAAAGAGGATGCTATGAAATCATTGCAATTTTTGCGAGGACGAAGTTCAAACGATGTACAGCAGGAATTGTCGGAAATTGAGAAATTCTTAGAAGAATCTAAGGCAACACAGGCCTCTATGATGGACCTCTTCAAATTGCCGGGAAATCGTAAAGCCCTGTTGATAACCACCGGTCTCCTGGTATTTCAACAATTATCTGGCATCGATGCAGTACTCTTTAATTCCCAATCAATATTTATGAATGCCGGCAGCAGTTTAGATCCAGCAGTGGCCACCATAATTGTGGGTACTGTGCAATTTGCAGCATCTCTAGTCATACCCATCATTGCAGATCGCATGGGACGCCGGGTAATCCTCCTGACTTCATCAAGTATTATGGCATTGTCCTTGGCTGCATTGGGTGCATTTTTCTATGTCAAAATGGATTCCGGCAATGTGGACTCTATTCTATGGTTACCGGTTACGGCTCTTGTGATCCACAATATTTTATATTGTATTGGTTTTGGTGCTCTGCCCTGGGCTATTTTGGGTGAAATGATTCCACCAAATTTGAAATATATTGCCTCACCAATTGCCACCTCGTCATGTTGCGCTGCTGGTTTTGTGGCCACCTATGTTTATCCTTATTTGGATGCCATGGGGACTTATTATGTTTTCTGGATATTTGGTGGATGTTGTGTCCTGGCTTTTTTGTTTAGTTTCTTTGTGGTGATTGAAACGAGAGGCTTGAGTTTACAGGAGATACAAGATAAGCTACACACAAAGAAAATGTGAAAGTTGTGTATCAGGAATTTTCGAATGACCTTGGCAGTTTTACCGGACATGTGACTGATAAATTTAGAGATTCTATATAAAAAAATTGGCAGTATAATAAAATTAAAAATATTTTTTTCCGAAGCAAATCAATATAATGCGTATTTTAATAAATATTTCAAAAGGTAAAATATTAATTTTAAACCAGCAAGGAAAGATCGAAAGTCGGACGGGGCCGACTATATGATACCCATTACCACTTTGGGTACATGCAAGACATGTTAATATCTACAATATCCTGTAGACAGAACGGTCATAGAATCTTTGGAGGACCATTGAGATGAAATCGGGCGAAATTAAATGGGCCATCTAGATAAATATTTGAATCAATTGAAAAACCCCATACACATACCATTCTGAAATCAATGAAAAATTGCATGTCAAACGGACAGACTTGGATTCTTTGGTGTACCATTTGTATAAACACATGGACCTAATTGAGTAACCGTTGCATACACCATTTGTTTTTTGTAATCACTATATTCAATTCAATACCCTCTGCCAAATTTCGTGTAACCACCATTTACATAAAATTTAACGAAAATATATATAAGACCTATATCAAAATCAGAACCGATTTCAACAAACCTTATCACGCATCATTTTTTCCTCAATTGCATTCACTATGCAAAATTTTGCTCAATCGGACAAATATTGAGAGTTTGGTGTATCATTCACAAAAAAACGGACGAAACTATATATGGGAGCTATATCTAAATCTGGACCGATTGTAACAAAACCTCGCAGACATCAGTCTGGACCTAATTCAGAACTCTGAGCAGAATTTTGTCCCAATCGGACAAATATTGGAAGTTTTTGCATCATTTACAAAAAATCGGACGAAACTATATATGGGAGCTATATCTAAATCTAAACCGATTGTAACAAAACCTCGCAGACATCAGTCTGGACCTGATTCAGTGCGATGTGCAAAATGTTGTCCCAATCGGACATATATTGGGAGTGATGTTCATCATTTACATAAAATCGGACGAAACTATATATGGGAGCTATATCTAAATCTGAACCGATTTTAACAAAACTTCGCAGACATCAGTCTGGACCTAATTCAGAACTCTGAGCAGAATTTTGTCCCAATCGGACAAATATTGGAAGTTTTTGCATCATTTACAAAAAATCGGACGAAACTATATATGGGAGCTATATCTAAATCTAAACCGATTGTAACAAAACCTCGCAGACATCAGTCTGGACCTGATTCAGTGCGATGTGCAAAATGTTGTCCCAATCGGACATATATTGGGAGTGATGTTCATCATTTACATAAAATCGGACGAAACTATATATGGGAGCTATATCTAAATCTGAACCGATTTTAACAAAACTTCGCAGACATCTGTCTGGACACAATTCAGAACTCTGTCCAAAATTTTGTGCCAATCGGATAAATATTGGATGTTTGGTGCATTATTCACATAAAATCGGACGAAACTATATATGGGAGCTATATCTAAATCTAAACCGATTGTAACAAAACCTCGCAGACATCAGTCTGGACCTGATTCAGTGCGATGTGCAAAATGTTGTCCCAATCGGACATATATTGGGAGTGAGGTTCATCATTTACATAAAATCGGACGAAACTATATATGGGAGCTATATCTAAATCTGAACCGATTTTAACAAAACTTCGCAGACATCTGTCTGGACACAATTCAGAACTCTGTCCAAAATTTTGTGCCAATCGGATAAATATTGGATGTTTGGTGCATTATTCACATAAAATCGGACGAAACTATATATGGGAGCTATATCTAAATCTGAACCGATTACAACAAAATTTCGCATACATAAGTATGGACCTGATTCAGTGCGCTGTGCAAAATGTTGTCCCAATAGGACAAATATTGCGAGTGTGTGCAGCTTTTACATAAAATCGGGCGAAACTACCCCGATAGAAGGATCTATATCTAAATCTGAACCGATTTTCTCCAATGTCTGTGCCAAATTTCATTCAAATTGGAACATAAATGCGACCTGTACTTTGTTTACAAAAATATATGGACGGACATGCGTAAATCGACTCAAAAAGTGATTCTATGCATATTCTCAAAATGAACCATGAGTCTATCTCGATTCATTTTGCCTGTTACGAACATATGCACAAAGACATAATACCCTGTACCACAGTGTGGTGAATTGTATAAAAATCCAGGCAAATATAAATAATAAAAACATATTTTTTAAATTTTTATAAGCTCTGCGTTTTTTTTCATAATCCTAAAAAATATTTTTAATAAAAATATTTTAGTAAATATTTTGAAGACACCTTATCCTTTCAAATGTTTTTTAATTCACTTAAATACGTCATTTAAAGAATCACCGAAACAGCATACCACTGCAATTCAACAATATATGCTATGAATCTCTATCCTTCCATTGCCACCCACATTGGGGATTTTAACAATATCACTGTAATAGACCAGAGAACGAAACACTGAGAATAATTGTACTCTCCTCTACTCAGTTACATACTCTCATAATGAGAACAGTAAACATCAATATATATACTAACAACAACAAACATTGTATGGTGTCTTTTTCTGGGGAGTCTGAAAGAATATTTTTCTTCTTCTTACCTTTTAAACATGGTCACTTTGTAGAAAGGGCTCGAATTTTCTAACAAAAAGAAACATACACACACGCGGATTTTAAATTGAAAAATTATTATTCTTTTATACATTTTTACTTATAAATAACGATTCAATAGAACATGCACTCGCGGAAATAATAAATGAACAATTGACCAATAAATTTTCTAATGAGAAAAATGTAAACCACATGTCATGACCTTTGTGGGTATTATAATAAGGAGGCTAAATCACACTTTACGACATTTATTGATAACATTTTTAATTATTTTCAAATATATAGAAATGCACTCGCGACACAAAAGAAACGGATTTGAATACACTTTTAATTTTTAAAAAAACTAATTGCAATACGATCGAATTTAAGGAATACTACACGCAACCGCACTGCCCGACTTTTAAAGAATAACTAAATTGAGTAACGTCCGAGAACAATAAATGGAGCAGACAATTGAGAGATCTCCCCATCAACAGAACAAAAACAATGCATAAGGAGAATCACGCCACATAACGGTGGGAGTTAGGCAAACGTAGCCTGTTGTCATATAGTAATTCTAATTAGAACTCCCAAACAGTTGCCAATTTAGCAGTGATGCCAATTTAGCGATTTTCCTGACAATGTACTTTGGAAAACATAAATAATAAGCACTATAAATAATTGAAGAAATAAAAAAACCCAGGTCTATTGGTAGTCATTGAAAAATAAATTTTAAAAAATCCACGCCTATTGGTAGACCTCCCTTGGAAAAATAAATTTTAAAAAATCCACGCCTATTGGTAGACCTCCCTTGGAAAAATAAATTTTAAAAAATCCACGCCTATTGGTAGACCTCCCTTGGAAAAATAAATTTTAAAAAATCCACGCCTATTGGTAGACCTCCCTTGGAAAAATAAATTTTAAAAAATCCACGCCTATGGGAAATCTACGCCTATGGAATGACTCTTAAAAAAATATTTTAAAAAATCCACGCCTATTGGTAGACCTCCCTTGGAAAAATAAATTTTAAAAAATCCACGCCTATTGGTAGACCTCCCTTGGAAAAATAAATTTTAAAAAATCCACGCCTATTGGTAGACCTCCCTTGGAAAAATAAATTTTAAAAAATCCACGCCTATTGGTAGACCTCCCTTGGAAAAATAAATTTTAAAAAATCCACGCCTATTGGTAGACCTCCCTTGGAAAAATAAATTTTAAAAAATCCACGCCTATTGGTAGACCTCCCTTGGAAAAATAAATTTTAAAAAATCCACGCCTATTGGTAGACCTCCCTTGGAAAAATAAATTTTAAAAAATCCACGCCTATTGGTAGACCTCCCTTGGAAAAATAAATTTTAAAAAATCCACGCCTATTGGTAGACCTCCCTTGGAAAAATAAATTTTAAAAAATCCACGCCTATTGGTAGACCTCCCTTGGAAAAATGACCTAATTGAGTAACCGTTGCACACATCATTTGTTTTTTGTAATCACTATATTCAATTCAATACCCTCAGTCGAATTTCGTGTAACCACCATTTACATAAAATCGAACGAAAATATATATCAGACCTATATCAAAATCTAAACCGATTTCAATAAACCTTATCACGCATCATTTTTTCCTCAATTACATTCACTATGCAAAATTTTGCTCAATCGGACAAATATTAAGAGTTTGGTGTATCATTCACAAAAATCGGACGAAACTATATATGCGAGCTATATCGAAATCTGATCCGATTTTAAAAAAACTTCGCAGACATCTATCTGGACACAATTCAGAACTCTGTGCAAAATTTTGCGTCAATCGGACAAATATTGGAAGTTTGGTGCAACATTCGCATAAAATCGGACGAAACTATATATGGGAGCTATATCTAAATCCGAACCGATTCCAACAAAATTTCGCATACATAAGTATGGACCTGATTCAGTGCGCTGTGCAAAATGTTGTCCCAATCGGACAAATATTGGGAGTGTGCTGCTGCATTTACATAAAATCGGGCAAAACTATATATGGGAGCTATATCTAAATCTGAACCGATTTTCTCCAATGTCTGTGTCAAATTGCATTCAAATTGGAACATATGTAAATGCGACCTGTACTTTGTTTACAAAAATACATGGACGGACATGCGTAAATCAACTCAGAAAGTGATTCAATGCATATTCTCAAAAGAAACCATGGGTATATCGATTCCTTTTGCCTGTTACGAACATATGAACACAGAAAATATACCCTGTACCACAGTGTTGTGAAGGGTATAAAAATCCAGGCAAATATAAATAATAAAAAAATATTTTTTAAATTTTTATAAGCTCTTCGTTATTTTTTCATAATCCTAAAAAAATATTTTTAATAAAAATATTATCAAATCAAATATTATCAAATGTTTTTTATTTCACATAAATACGTCCATTATTACCAGAGATACAGTCATTTAAAGAATCAACGAAACAGTGGTATGCAATTCAATAATATGCATGCTCAATCAATGAAGCAAGCAAAGAGAGATCCTACCCCCAACCACCACCTACTTGAACAACAACTCTACAATACGAAAGCACACAACAATAACAACAATATATGCTATGAATCTCTATCCTTCCATTGCCACCCAATTTGCGGGGATCTTAACAATATCACAGTAATAGAAAAGAGTACGAAACACTGAAAGGAGAACACAATTGTACTCTCTTGTACTCAGTTACATTCTCCCATAATGAGAACAGTTAACGTCAATATGTACTAACAACAACAAACATTGTATGGTGCCTTTTTTGGAGTCTGAAAGAATATTCTTCTTCTTACCTTTTAAACATGTCCACTTTGAAGAAAGGATTGGAATTTTCTAACAAAAAGAAACATACACACACGCGGATTTTAAATTGAAATATAATTATTCTTTTATACATTTTCACTTGTAAATAACGATTCAATAGAACATGCACTCGCGGAAATAATAAATGAACAATTGACCAATAAATTTTCTAATGAGAAAAATGTAAACCACATGTCATGACCTGTGTGGGAATTATAATAAGGAGGCTAAATCACACTTTACGATATTTATTGATAACATTTTTTAATTATTTTCAAATATATAGAAATGCACTCGCGACACAAAAAACACGGATTTGAATACATTTTTAATTTTCAAAAACTAATTGCAATTTGAACGAATTTAAAGAATACTGCACGCAACCCCACGACCCGACTTTTAAAGAATAACTAAATTGAGTAACGGCCGAGAACAATGAATGGAGCAGAAAATTGATCTCCCTATCAACAGAACAAAAAACAATGCATAAGGAGAATCACGCCACATAACGGTGGGAGTTAGGCAAATGTAACCCTGTTGACATATAAGAATTCTAATTAGAACTACCAAACTTTGCAGTTTACAGTGATGCCAATTTAGCGATTTTCCTGACAATGTATTTTGGAAAACATAAATATAAAAATTTGAAGAAATAAATAATACAAAAATTCACGCCTATTGAAAAATAAATTTAAAAAATGCACGCCCTTGAAAAATAAATTTTAAAAAACCCACGCTCTTGAAAAATAAATTAAAAAAACACGCCCTTGAAAATTAAATTTAAAAAAAAATCCACGCCCTTGAAAAATAAATTTTAAAAAATGCACGCCCTTGAAAAATAAATTTTAAAAAACCCACGCTCTTGAAAAATAAATTAAAAAACACGCCCATGAAAAATAAAATTTAAAAAAAATCCACGCCCTTAAAAAAATCCGCGCTTTAAAAAATAAATTTCAAAATAATCCACGCCCCTGAAAATTAAATTTAAAAAAATCCACGCCCTTGAAAAATAAATTTAAAAAAATCCGCGCCTTGAAAAATAAATTTCAAAAAAATCCACGCCCTTGAAAATTAAATTTAAAAAAATACACGCCTTTGAAAAATAAAATTTTAAAAAATCCGCGCCTTGAAAAATAAATTTCAAAAAAATCCACGCCTTTGAAAATTAAATTTAAAAAAATACACGCCTTTGAAAAATAAAATTTTAAAAAATCCGCGCTTCAAAAAATAAATATCAAAATAATCCACGCCACTGAAAATTAAATTTAAAAAAATCCACGCCCTTGAAAAATAAATTTAAAAAAATCCGCGCCTTGAAAAATAAATTTCAAAAAAATCCACGCCCTTGAAAATTAAATTAAAAAAAATACACGCCTTTGAAAAATAAAATTTTAAAAAATCCACGTCCTTGAAAAATAAATTTTAAAAAATTCACTCCCTTGAAAAATAAATTTTAAAAAATCCACGCCCTTGAAAAATAAATTTTAAAAAATGCACGCCCTTGAAAAATAAATTAAAAAAAATAAATTGAAAAATAAATTAAAAAAAAACACGCCCTTGAAAAATAAAATTTTAAAAAAATCCACGACCTTGAAAAATAAATATAAAAATTCCACGCCCTTGAAAAATAAATATAAAAAATCCACGCCCTTGAAAAATAAATTTAAAAAATCCAAGCCCTTGAAAAATAATTTTTAAAAAATCTACATCTTGAAAAAATAAATTTTAAAAAATCTACATCTTGAAAAATAAATTTTAAAAAATCCACGCCTCGAAAAATAATTTTAAAAAATTTAAGCCCTTGAAAAATAATTTTTAAAAAATCTACATCTTGAAAAATAAATTTTAAAAAAATCTACATCTTGAAAAATAAATTTTAAAAAATGCACGCCTTGACAAATAAATTTATAAAAATCCACGCCTTGTCAAATCCTTTAAAAATCACTAAATTGTCATTACTGTTACTGTAGCTAAATTGCATTGCCTGAATTTTGGCAGTTCTAATTAGAACATTAATTTAGCATCTCATGACATTCTCACGCGGCAACAGCTATCTGTGTGTGTGACTGTGTAATGAAATGGAGTTTGTCAATTGGCTCTCTTCCTAGGTAGATTGGGGTAACTCTCCATTCGTTCGCTCAGGTCTTTGTTCTCGGCAATTCTTCTTGAAATATAGTTCTTCTTGAAATATCGGGTAGTGCGGTTGTGCTATTTGCGTTTAAAATTCGTTGGAATTGGAATATTAGTTTTGCAAAATTATTTTGTAATTGTGTCCGAACAAGTGCGTGTGCCTTTCGCGAGTGAATTAAAAAAGAACAAATAATATAAAGTAATCACCTACGCGTTTCGTATTTATAAAGGAAACAAATCGTGTGTCGCTTTGTCATAATCGCGTTTTTTACTAGTCCAGTCTTTTACTTCCTTCTGCGTACCATTTCGTTTCCTTGTCGAAATCGTGCGTGAAATATTCCATGTAAGATTGTGTGTCGATAAGTATTCGGGGTTTTATTTTTTCACGTTTGCATTTTCTAAAAAATAATTATTTTTTGTGTGTGTTTTTTTGTGTTTTTTTCTTTTTTTGTTAAATAATTCGAGCCCTCTATGCAATGCGGTGGACATGATCATAAGGTAAGAACAAGAATATTCTTTGAGTCTCCCAAAACAGGCGCCAAACAAACGTAGTTGTTAGTGCCCATTGATGTTAACTGTTCTCATTATGAGAGAACGTAACTGAGTAGAGCAGAGTACACATGTACTCTTCTCGGTGTTTTGTTCTCTGGTCTATTACTGTGATATTGTTATGCTCCACAGAGTGGGTGGTAATGGGTGGATAGATATTCATAGCAAACTCTGTGGTTGGTGTGTTGTTGTTGTGTTGCTGTTCAAGTGGGTGGTGGGGGTTATGATCTGGTTTTGCTTGCTTCATTGATTGAGCATGCATATTATTGAATTGCAGTGGTATGCTGTTGCGGTGTTTCTTTAAATGGCTATAACTTTGGTAATAGTGGTCATATTAAAGTGAAATAAAAAGCATTTCAAAGATATTAAATAGTCAAATTTAAATTAAAATTCGAAGATGAAGAAAATCCGTCGACTCCTTCTGGTTTCTAAACATGGATTTTATTTTCTAGAGTTTAATTAGAGCCATTGGCGTGCATTTTTAAAGAATATTTTGCAGAGGATTTTAGAGCTATATGCGTAGCTTCTTAAAGAATATTTTACAGAGGATTATTAGAGCTATTTTTTTAAATGGCTACCCATAGGCGTGGATTTTTTTAAATGGCCAGCAATAGGCGTGGATTTTTTAAATGGCCAGCAATAGGCGTGGATTTTTTAAATGACCAGCAATAGGCTTGGATTCTTTAAATGGCCAGCAATAGGCGTGGATTTTTTAAATGACCAGCAATAGGCGTGGATTCTTTAAATGGCCAGCAATAGGCGTGGATGTTTTAAGTGGCTACCAATAGGCGTTAATTTTTTAAATGGCTACCAATAGGCGTGGATGTTTTAAATGGCTACCAATAGGCGTGGATTTTTTTAAATGGCTACCAATAGGCGTGGCTGTTTTAAATGGCTACCAATAGGCGTGGATGTTTTAAATGGCTACCAATAGGCGTGGATGTTTTAAATGGCTACCAATAGGCGTGGATGTTTTAAATGGCTACCAATAGGCGTGGATTTTTTAAATGGCTACCAATAGGCGTGGATGTTTAAAATAACTTTCCAGGATATATTATAATATTTTGTCCTTAAATTTATATACACAAATATATCTTCTTCGCACATTTTTTAGAAACTACAATTCAAATTATATATTTCACTGATCCCTTTGTTGTTCCCCTTCGCCTTGTCTCCCATTCAATTGATCTTGTATCTGTTGCAAACTCAACCCCTTCGTTTCCATTACCACAAATAGCGTAAAAGCAAAAGCCACAGAGCAAAATACAGCAAATAACCAAAAAGCATAGTGGGGACCCAATTGAGCCAACGAAGGATATGAATAGGCCACCAGAAAACCCAAAGTCCAACATGTTGAAGTACCAATGGAAGCAGCTTTTGATTTAACATTGGGTGGAAACATTTCACCAGCCACAGCCCATGGCAATGGACCAAATCCAATGCAATAAACAATATTGTAAATAACTAAGACCGGCACAGGAAGCCATAGTACCCGCGAAATATCACCCTCCTCCAGCTGCATATAGAAGAAGGTACCCAATGCTGTTAGACACATACACATGCCAGCTGCCGAAATGAGTAATATGATTTTGCGGCCCAAGCGATCAGCCAATATGGGGGTTAGTCCGGAGGAAAGGACCTGCACAGCTCCAATTATGATGGTGGCAATGGCTGGGTCTAAATCGGTGCCGGCACTTTGAAATATCGATTGGGCATTGAAGAGTACCACATTTATTCCCGAGAGTTGTTGAAAGGCCACCAAACCAGCTGTTATAATGAGAGCTTTGCGGTTTCCAATATTTGTAAGGAGATCCTTTAAGGAGGCTTTGCTGGACATAGACTCCTCTACAATTTTCTGTATACCACACATTTCCTCCTTAACGTTATCGGCTGAGTTTTGACCTCTTAGAAATGTCAAGGATTTCAGGGCATCGACCTTTCGTCCCCTGCCAGCCAAATAGTATGGGCTTTCGGGCATAAAAAAGAAACCCGCATCGAAGAGTAGGGGTATTATGAGGCAGCACCATTGTAGGGCCTGATAGGAGACATATGGACCTATGGAGTAGACATAAAGGATGCCAGCTGTAAGGAAGGGAGGATTTTAAATCCGAATTATTTTTTTAATTTATGTGAAGGTTCCTCACCCACAAGAAATAACTGCATTAGCGATCCAGTAGCTCCTCTCACATTATCTGTGGAAATTTCACCCACATACATGGGGGTGATGGTCATAACGAACCCAGCCCCAAATCCTTGTAGAAAACGTCCCAGCAGCAACAATCCCACATTGTGGGCCAACATCATTAAAACAAAGGCGGCGATCAGAAATATCGAACTGGATATCAAGGACCATTTACGTCCAATTTTATCCGCCAATGGTCCAGCAGCAAAGGGTGCTAGGGGTAGGAAGAAAAATAAATAAAAAACATAACATAAATTTCTTTTTTCCTTACCCGCCAAAGCACCCAATGCCAAAATCGATGAAATCCATGCATCTTCATTGGCATCGATTCTATAATCCAAAGGCGAACCAGAAGTATCCGGTGATTTCAGTATGGCTCCCACCGGTGAGGTCCAACCCAAACAGGTGCCCACCGAAAAGGCAGATAAATTTGCTGGAATTCCAAATTCACTTTTGAAAAAGTAGAAGAAATGAATTCAAATTTCTCACCCGCTATGGCAGCCAGGAATATACGTCCTGTCTTGTTCGATTGCATTTTCCAACTGCATGCACATACCGGCTTTGGTCATGCAAATCTCGCCTGCTCGGGAAATTAACGAAACAAACAAAAAAACCAACCAATCAATTGTCCCAAGCGTGTTAGATTACATTAAACGCTTATGAATGGCTGACAAGCCAATGAATGGAACCTGATGACCGAATGACCCCAAACCGACGATGAAAGCTTCGTCATTTTTTTATTTCGCTCCTTTATTAATTTTAACAACCAAACAGTCACGGCGGGTCACATACATAATTTGTAGTGGATTTAATAACCTCCTGAAGAAATATATAAAAACATTGCAACTTCGTGGTGGCCTGTTGCGGAAGAAGACACACCCCCACTCCTGTAATCCAATCTGATGAAATGTCATTATTTTTGCCATTTCGCGGTTGACAGTTGCAAAAATTAATGTGAAAATTACAAAAAAAAAAGAAATTTGCCAGTCATTAGTATAGAATGTCCTTCCTGTCTGTCCGATAAAAAAATGATTAAATGACATAATTAGTGCCTGTCATGTCATGTGGATGACATTGCAAAATGTCCTATGTCCTTGACATAGTGTGAAGTTCAAAGTTAAATAAAAATAGTTTTGTTTGTGAATTTTTAGAGACATGTGTATATCAGACCGATCTAGGTAAAGAAAACCTGGTAAGGATTTAAAACAAAAAATATAAAAAAACTCAGAGGTTTATTAGAAAAAAATATTTTTTAAAAAATCTACGCTCTAGAATATAATAAAAAAAAACAGTAAGGAAAGTTCAAAAGTCGGACGGGGCCGACTATATGATACCCTTCACCACTTTGGGTATATTCAACAGATGAATCCTAACAGACGTCACATTTTTAATGGACCAGTAAAATGAAATTGTATCCATAAACATGTTATTCTGCAACCGATACTAAATTTTTCATTTGGTCAGATATAGAAGCTATATCTAAATCTGAACCGATTTTCAGGAAACTTAACACACATCATTCTATACATAATTCATTACGCTATGCCAAATTTCGTGCAAATCGAAAGATATATAGGAACTTTGGTGCACCATTTATGTTAACTCGGACGAATATAAATATGGGAGATCCTTCCTATATATATGGGTCCTTACGCCAAATAAATGCGATGTACCAAATGTCATCCAATTCGTATCACAAATGCGACCTGTACTTTGTTTACAATTTAACATGGACAGACGGACGGACGAACATGCAAAAATCGACTTAAAAAGTGATTCTATGCATATTCTCAAAAGGAACCATGTGTCTATCTCGTTTCCTTTTGCCTGTTACAAACATATGCACAAAGACATAATACCCTGTACCACAGTGTGGTGAAGGTTATAAAAATCTAAAATTCTGCGGTTTTATATACTGAGCATGGGAAATATTTCGCGATATTTACACCCTCTTTATCCACTATAGGCAAACAACTCCACTTTTTAACACTGGCATATTTTGAAAATTTAGTTTTCCCAATACGAATATTCGGTTCATTGCGCCTCCTAAATGTCATCTCAATAATCACCTTGACCCAACCGGACCTTCACGTAAAATTTCAAGGTCAAAACCTTTTATTAACATTTCGGGTCTATGCCCTTCAAGTGTAAAAACATACCCCATAGAATTCAAAATTTGCCACAAATTTTGACAGATCCAAGCTCTTAAGCCTTTGAGCCCCGAATTTTTTTCCGTAATTATAGATCAAGTTTCTGTTCACAGATTTAATGCAACTATCCTAGATAAGATATGGACAAAATTTGGCATCGCTACATTCTTGCATTCGGGAGATACAGTACATTCTTTCTGAAAATTAAAAGCCCAATATCAGGAAACCAAATGAAAAATCGACGAAAAAATCATTTTAAATTATTCTCTATATTCTGTTTTACAAGAAACAATAATAATTCTGACGGTAGAATTCGTATATTTCGAATACGATGCGATTTAAATAATTTGGACTGTATACACAAATTAGTACTGTACACATTTTTGCCCTCTTCTATATATTAAAAAGCTCATAACTTTACCAAAAATTTGATTTTTTTAGATTTTTCTTGTGATATGTGTCGTCCATAATCAGGTCTAGACATATGAAATCCAAAGAATATATATCTACTAGCAGTATATTAAATATAAGCGTTAAAACATTTTGTTGCCTGTGGGCAACATTGGGCCACAAAGGGTTAAAGTCCCAAAAAAATTATTTCTTAGTAATCCATTCTAAGTTAGAAATAAACCAATAATCATTTTAAAATTTCATGCTTTAACAATCCTGGAAAAAAATATTTTTTTAAAAAATTCGGCTTCTGTAAACATATCGAATGATCCTAAAAAAAATTCACGCGATAAAAATTAAATCTTTAAAAATTCCATTATTTATTTTTTTAATCTACTTCGATTATTGCTATAAAAAGTCTCCTGAAGTATGTTTTTTTCGTATGTAGATCTCATATTTGGTTTTGGTTCAATGTGTGTAGCAATTCTTGCCATATGAAACCTACTAATATTGTTGTTGCTTTTTTCGCATTAATTAAAGTTTAACATATACCCAAAGGTGATTAATTATTGTTATTATTATGATAACCTGATATTTTAAAGCTTGGATTTAATAAAAAATATATTTTTTCCTTGCCTGGACTTTTAAGGCATTGATTGGAGACAGAAGGAAGATCTGATCTGCCAAAAAACTTTTTTTGTTTATACCGGCCAAGCGCTTACATCCCGCCTCCCACAATCTTGTTGCACAGTGTTATAGACACTAATCTCAATTACTTTTCAAACATTTTCTGCATATTTTAGATATATAGGATCATGTCAGCATTACACGAATTTTATTCTAGGAACAAATTTAAAATGCACCAACTTTAAATTCTGTAAGTGGCCCACTTAACGGATAAACAAGTAAATTGTACTTCATTATCAGCCCAAATGTGTGAACTGTATTATCCACATTTTTTACTTCTTTATCTAGTATTACATTAGTTGCCATATTGTTTTTTCATTAAATATCAATGACACCAACCAACCATCAAAGTTAACACCCCTGGTAATATAAAGTCACATATAGATGGCAGCACATGGTATTTATATGCATAAATTATGGATTCTGACGAATAAAGTAAAATGCCAAGTCAAAATTAAATTGCCATATAAATAAAGGTCATTGATTAAATGATTTTGCAATAGTTTTCATCGTATGTAATATAATAAGGAAAGCTATATCGAATATCTGTTTAAATTTAATTTGTTTGCAATTGAGGCCAATTTCTTATTATTTATCTTATTATACAATGTATAAATTTAAACTTGATTCAAAAATTAACGTACACATTGAAAGTTTTCCTCATATTACTAGCATTTTTTCTACATTACGTAAACAACTAACTGTGAAATAATTTACCAATTAGAGAGAGAGAGAGAGAGAGAGAGTTATTCACCACTCTAATTGCTGTTGGGAGCGGATGGTAAACAAAACACAATTGAAATGACAGTTATTAATTGACAATTTCTGTGCGGATAAATTAAAATTTTTGTTATTTGAATTTTGCCTTGTAAGGGTAGTAATGATTTGAAAGTAATTTTTAAATGAGTTATTTATACCCTTTCGAGTCGAGCTTAATGATCAAAGTTTTGCAATGAAGAGGAAAGCCAGGAGAAGAACCTACGTACCCACCATTATTCGACGCGTTTCGTCGTTGGTTAAGCGGCTCATCAGGCATATTGGGCTATGCGACTTTACAAAGGTCGTATGTTGATAGCTTGTATTTATTCCGCCCTGATGCGAAACTTGCATATGCGAATGAAATTCAAATTTGTCAAGATTCGACATTTGTCTTCATTCTAGAAACAAACCTGTTCAAAGCAGATTTTTTGTCCGGCCACCTACAATCGGTCCTCAGAGCAACAAAAATGTTGCCAGACCAATTAACGTTCTGAGCCATCAACACACTTTCAAAACGGTTGCGCAAAAATCATGTGTATACAAGGAAGCAATTGCAGGTGTGTGGATTAATTATCCAATTAAATATTTAATTTAGGTAAAAAAACTAAGGGAACTAATGAGAATCAGTGGCGAGATCCGAAACTATAGTCTTCCCAGCCTTACCCCTCGGCGGACAATGTTTTTGCATCTTTTCATGTAAGAACATTTCGTGATCAGGGAGGATTCCATTCAAGCGTCATTCTGGTTATGCTATGGTCATTTTTTCTTAAGGTGTAACCATTGACCAATCTGCCCTAAAGACCTACGTTTAATCTGCTTTTGTATAGGTTCCTCATCAGTCACATTCCAAAGCTCCACGTTATTCTTTTGCGTGACTGTTTTTGACACAATTAAGGTTTCATTGACTTATAGCTGAATCAATTTTTTAATGCCTCGAATTTTAAAAATGCGATTTCCTGGATATATGTGATCTTCTCCATACACATATCTGTCGTTGGCATCAGTCGACTTTGTTTAACATGTTGATTACGACCATTTCTGAACCATCTCTCGATTTTGCAGAGCTTCCTTTTTTTGCTCAATGATTTCCCCCATATGACAGTACATCTGATGGTCTGGAAAACTTTATAGAAATGGATGAAGAGTGCCTACAAGTGGATGCACCACTCTATAGATTGTTCTAGTATAACTGGTAGGTTGTTGGCCTGATTCGCCAAAGCTACTACTTGCATTGAAGCAAGTTCGTTCATTTCTTAGAATGTTTCCTACTTGGCATTGAATTATTTTCTGTTTAAAACTATGCTATTTGTTTCACATTAGTATAATATTACATAATATATTATCGAATTTACATGATTCTTAAATTTTTATTTTAAAATATTTCGTATTTGTACAAATATCATTATGTACAAATATCATTATTTTAAATGTATTAATAATTATATTACTAAAATTAATTGTATTACTAAAACATTTTTGAATGAATATTAATATATTTTTATTATATTTTTCTTATTTTTAAATTAATTTTCCATTTAATTGTCCTATA